ATCAGTATCCGGTGAATAGCGCTATCCGGCCTTCGTACAACCGACCCCAGGAACAAGGGTGAATTTCGTTTTCGACCAATCAGAGCATTTGTTTACCTTTTGGCGCTAAGCCAATCAGAACGCGTACATTGTTACTACTTCCGGTTTAGACGCGTATTTCAATACGAAATTACGGTTGTAAATAAAGCCTTGGGGGGGGGGGGCTGTTTTTTTATTTTTTTGGACTTATTTCAATGAAATCCTATAAAATATAAAATTTTGGAAAAATTTGCCTCAGGGATTTGCGTTTCATTGCTTAGTTTTGAAATTATCCGCATTCAAAAAACGGCGTATGCAAGGTCACTCTGTAATTAGTCAAAAACGTGTTATGATTCTAAAGGAAGTAAAGCGAAGGCATATATCCGGAAATATTTAAGAGTGGCTCGGGGCATTTGAGAAAGAAGGCATTTTCTCTGCGATTTTGGAGTTACATTTTCTGGCAATCGGTCACTACACGACTATAATTTTCCCAGCAGTGGCCATATAGCACTAAAGCAAAGTAGAAGAATTGCCGTTTATGACTGCCTCGTTGGCCCAAGCTTTCTGCTTTTGACTTGAGAGGATATTTGCAAAATCGGGCAAGCACTGATGTCTCTTAGGTTACACTCTAGGTGAAAAAAGTGCCTACAGCCTCGAAAAATGCGACACAGAAGACTATCACGACTGCATTCGATCACTGATTTTTAGATCAATGCATTCGATTTTATCACATGTGCTGTGTCAATGGAAATTGAAGGTATATACCTTATATATTTCACATATAAACATGTACATTTCATGCTTATGATTCATATACATTTTGCAGGCTGTCAATATATTAAAAGATTCATATTTTTTCGAGCACCAGATTGTCAGTCAACAGGTGAGAAATTCTAATTAGAGATTGACTTCTGGCATTGTCATCATGACAAGGCAATGTTAATGGTTCTCTCTCATTTCATATATTGGCAAGAGAACAACCATCCCATGTACCAGGCGCAAATGCATTTTTTTTCAGGGGGGGGGTGCGCACAAAGGACCGATTTTTGTCACCAGGGAACGACTTCGCGGCTCGTGCAAACTACATATTATTACGATCTTATACAATAAATAGTAACGCGGTCATTTTTCAATTCTTGTTATTTTAATATATGCAACAACTACAACAACAAATCCTTAGCTGACTGCCTCGTCCCCAGGCACTAATAAAAAAATTTCATGCGAGTCACTATATGAAAGGTTTACATGAAGTAGTGGGTCACGACGAACAATCGCAGGGAGTTATGGGCTTGAGGCATCGAAACGCTTATATCCCACTCCCCTTTGCGCGCCTATAATGTGACGCACTGCTTCCTGTAATCCTTTCATATAGTGACTCTCATGAAATTTTTTATTAGCGCCTGGGGACGAGGCAGCTACGGATGAGAGTTTTAATTAATTTGAGCTTTGAGAAGCTTCGCTCGCTTGAAGCCCATCGTTACAGGAGCTGTGAGAACAAGTTTCAATTAGCACCGCAATGTGAGTGGAAACAGTTCTTTGAATTTCGAACAATAATTCAAAGCATCGTTAATGATAGCAATGCCTTGTTTTGACGCCAAACAATGATTCCGAAAAACTTGTAATTCAACTTCAAGTGAAGCTTCGTCCGGTTTGGCATTGGCAATATTCAATTCAATGGCTTGAGCTTGCTTTGTTAAAATCTTTGTTTTAGAGATAACATTTCTCATTCTCAGGATGAATTCGAAACATTTGACAGATTCTTAGCTTTATCAACCCTTGTCTTGGCATCTTCTGATTCCGCTTCTTTATCCAAAGCAGCAATTATGCCATCAAACCTCGCCAACTCTGCCACAATTGACTCTGAGCGAGAAACACACGAGTGACAGAAAGATTCCTTAGCTGAAGTGCCCCCTCTGTATATTTATCCTTCACTTTCTGTCGAAAGGTTTGCACGGAAAATATTTTTGACAAGTCGGGCACAATGGGAAAAATAGGTACGCTAAGCGTACATGTATCTGCTCATGGTGATTGCACTGTTGCCAAGGGTAACACTCAGTAGTTTGTAACAAATGTTAAGGGACTGATGTTTAACAGTTGACCAGTTAAATAAAGTTAGATTTATAGTATGTCAGATGAAAGAAAAAGAAAATGGCTGATATATATTCAACTTGCAGAAACTAATTCCGGCCATAACTTCACAACGATGATATTCAATTTTATGATTTTCTTGTTGAATCATCTTAGTTTTATAATTTTCTTGCAGGGATGGATCCAGCATGATCTGATATGGGGGGGTCTCTTCCCACTCTGGTGCCGAGTTGTGTCGGTCATGTGTGCCGCCCCCTCCCCCATCAACTTGCTTCGCTCTATTGCAAAGTCTTGCTTGACTACAGTATTTGAATTTTTAATTGTTGTTCACAGTTCACCTATCATCATATTATTACTCAAATTTCTGTATCTCATTTTGTCTCTAATAAATTTTGCTTATCATGAAAAATAGGACCCCCCTCCTGCCAAGGCTGCCTGCACACCCCCGCATCCCCCCCCCCCCCCTCACT